TATACTTGCAATTAAAGCTTGATGTCTTTCCCCGAAACTCAATGAGTAATCAGATTAGTTGTGGAAGATGATATGGAACAATATTCATATTTTAAAAATTAGGTAAGAGGTGGCTATTTACAGACAAATCTTAACTCTGACACAATATTTTTACACAGAGATAAGTGAATTAAGAATGAATTACCCATATTTCCCTTACGTATACAAATAAATTATCTGTTTTACCCTTACATAGGTTAACATATATTAGAATATGGGCTTCTTTCTTAATAGTTTAAATTGCAAGATATGGATCCTAGACCCAAACCCCAGGGGATATATGAAATTATCTTCATCTAATTATTTTAATGTGTTATATAATTTAATATATCTAGAATAACAATGGTCGCTCTTCTTCCCCTTGTCACTTAAGCCAGCCTTGGAATTAATATATAAAGTTGAATGCCCATACGGGTTATTTGTCATGTGACACATTTTAGAACTCATAAAATTGTTCTATTTTGACACATAAGATTTGTGGTTGTCATGTGATTGAATTTTATTGGTGATGATGTAAAGAGAGATTAATTGTTATATTGGTATTCTAAATCCAAAGGTAAAAACATACATATTTAAGTGACATATAGGACAATTTTATCTTTTTTTTTTTTAGCTCTAAAATTACTTTATTTTGGGGCTCTAGAATTGCTCTCTTTTGCCATGGTTGGATGTGTGGTTTATTAATTAATTAATAAACCATGATTCATGACCAATAATGATGTCAAAGAGCTGAGTCATTATGCTGAAATCAGCCCTCGACAACAAAATCTTTTCAAGAGAAAAGTTCAATAACGTTTCCCCATACTATAAAATTTCAGTCTTGGTTTATAATTTTTTTTCAATTCAGCCAACTGTTTTAATTATTCTTAGTTGGAAAATAAAACGACTTATACTGAACTATGCTGGTCAGCTTGTGTCTCTGACGATTTGGTGTTTCCTTGTTTTTTCTGGGAGATTTCCTCAAAGACAAGTCGTTGAATTGCTAAGTATTCTTCCTCTAAGCATAAAAACAAGATATTTCCCAATATTAATTCTAACTCTATTAACAAGTTATACTTTGCTCAGATTCGAGACAATGACAAGGCCTGTGATCGACGAAAGTATATTGGAAATAAATTAGTGGCCATTACTCTCCAATTCACAATTTATACTAAGAATAATGCTAATTAGATGTGATGATCATCACATTTCCGAAGAAATTAACCCTAATTACATGTGGAACATGGGGTAGAAAAAGTTCACTAAAATTAATAATATATTAAAATAGAAGGGTAATTCAATATTCTATATAACACACCGGTCAATTTATTCCTCAAAACCAAACATACAAATATAACATATCGACCAATTTATTTTAACCTAACCAAATACATTTTTCTAAACATTCACAATAATATTTAAAGTAATATATCTTACTATTAATATAACATTCCTTAATTCAAACATACCGAAAATTCTTTTGTCTTTCCCCATTGATTCAACTTTATAACTAAACTAGATAAATTATCGTATATTTGCTTTACCACTATTTTAAATTAGAACTGAGCCTATAAAAAGTAAAACCTTTCATCATTATCTTCTCCAATTGCATTAATGCGCAACAATGTCTGCAAAATCTTTTCAAAAAAGNAATTGTTCTATTTTGATATATAGGATTTATGGTTGTCATGTGATTGAATTTTATTGATAATGATGTAAAGAGTGATTAATTGCTATATTGGTATTCTAAATCCAAAGGTAAAAACATACATATTTAAGTGACATCTAAGACAATTTTATCTTTTTTTTTTTTTTTTAAGCTCTAAAATTACTTTATTTTGGAGCTCTAAAATTGCTCTCTTTTGCTACATTGGATGTGTGGTTTATTAATTAATAAACCATGATTCATGACCAATAATGATGTCAAAGAGCTGAGTCATTGTGTTGAAATCAGCCCTCGACAACAAAATCTTTTCAAGAGAAAAGTTCAATAACGTTTCCCCATACTACAAAATTTCAGTCTTGGTTTATCAATTTTTTTTTTCAATTCAGCCAACTATTTTAATTATTCTTAGTTGGAAAATAAAACGACTTATATTGAACCATGCTGGTCAGCTTGTGTCTCTAACGATTTGGTGTTTCCATGTTTTTTCTGGGAGATTTCTTCAAAGACAAGTCGTTGTATTGCTAAGGTATTCTTCCTCTAAGCATGAAAACAAGATATTTCCCAATATTAATTCTAACTCTATTAACAAGTTATACTTTAGACAATGACAAGGCCTGTGATCGACGAAAGTATATTGGAAATAAATTAGTGGCCATTACTCTCCAATTCACAATTTATACTAAGAATAATGCTGATTAGATGTGATGATCATCACATTTCCGAGGAAATTAACCCCAATTACATGTGGAACATGGGGTAGAAAAAGTTCACTAAAAATAATAATATATTAAAATAGAAGGGTAATTCAATAATCTATAGAACACACCGGTCAATTTATTCCTCAAAACCAAACATATAAATATAACATACCGACCAATTTATTCTAAACTAACCAAATAAATTTTCCTAAACATTTACAATAGTATTTAAAGTAATATATCTTACTATTAATATAACATTCCTTAAATCAAACATATCGAAAAATTCTTCTGTCTTTCCCCATTGATTCAACTTTATAACTAAACTAGATAAATTATCATATATTTGCTTTACCACTATTTTGAATTAGAACTGAGCCTATAAAAAGCAAAACCTTTCATCATTATCTTCTCCAATTGCATTAATGCGCAACAATGTCTGCAAAATCTTTTCAAAAAAGATAGTGCGATGTTCTTACCTGGGCTCAATTTTCAGCCTTAATTGATTAATTTTTAGAATTCAAAAGAAACATAATAAACTATGCTTCTGTGTCCCACGATCGATGATTTGAATCTTGGAAATTATCATGAACTTCTCTTGCGAGGGATTTTCTTCCAAGCCAAGTAATTAATTTTACATGTGATTATTGACATTACTTTCTTGATTTAGATTCACGTGTAACCGTTAAGATTAATTACATAAGGATTGTGATGAAAGTCTGTTTGAATTATGAGGCCATTTGTGACCTTATTTTAAGAATATTATGAGGTGCATGCATATCAAATGTAGAAAATTTGCATTATCTAATATATATGGAAGCAGACCAAGACCTTGCGAAAAATTCTAAGTATGACGTTGAGTTACTTCCTCATCAAAGTGATGAAATAAAATTGATTTAAGAGGAATTTGTTTATTTCAAGGTACATAAAGAGAAGCATGGGAGCGATTCCCTTGAGAAAGACAAGAAACTACTGTGGAAGAATTGAATAGGAAAATTATAAATAATAAATATGAAGTTGTTCCGACATGCATATTGTTATTATCAATGATTCATATCTTTCTCGTAATCTTTAACTTTGGTTTCTTTTAACCACTAATAAGGGGCATGATAGTAAAAAAACAAAATAAAATTTTATAAATTTTTGCAATCGAGTCTTTTTAGACATTAATAATAATAGAGATGACCACTGAAACTCTTACTTGATTGATAGTTCGAGCATTAATAGATAACTGACTCATACACCTGGTAATAAAAAAAAAAAAAAATGGTTTCTTTTCATATGTTTGAGTAAATTCAACCTGAACATCTCTTTGATGAATAATGAAGACACAAAATGACATCTATTTTAGAGAAATAAATAATTAAGCCACCCTGAGCTTTTGATCCAATAAGGTCAGGGTCCCTCAAACTAATAATTGATACATCGATGAGTGAATTAAGAATGATTACCTATATTTCCCTTATGTGCACAGATAAGTTAACATCTATTAGAATATGGGACTCTTTCCTAATAGTTTAAATTGCAAGATATGGATGCTAGACCATACACGAGGGGATAAATGAAATTATCTCCATCTAATTATTTTAATGTTTTAAATAATTTAATATATCTAGAATAACAACCGTCGCTCTTCTTCCTCTTGTCACTTAAGCTAGCCTTTGGAACTAATTAATTAATAAATCATGATTCATGACCAATAATGACGTGAAAGAGCTGAGTCATTGTGCTGAAATCAGTCCATGGACGATTTGATATTTCCATGTTTCTGGGAAATTTCCACAAAGACAATTCCTTCTATTGCAAGAGTATTCTTCCTCTTAAGTATTCTTAATTCTAATTTGTTCAGATTCGAGACAATGACAAAGAATTGATGAAAGTATATTGGAAATAAATTAGTGGCTATTACTCTCCAATTCACAATTTAGACTAAGAATAATGCTATAGATACCACTACTGTCATGTTTAAGTTCTTTATTTTTAAAAAGTTATAAATTTAATTTATGAAGTGGAACTCATTGATTAGTTGGCTGTGATGATCATATTTCCGAGGAAATTAACCCTAATTAAATGTGGAACATGGGGTAGAAAAAGTATGAATAATTAGATAAAAAATTCTTTTTAAATCTTAAATTCTTAATTTTGTATAGAAACAATTGTTAATTATTTCATTATCAAGTAACTAAAATTATTTAACAAGTGTGAGTATTGCAAAATTTTCAAAAAATAAAAAAAATCACAACTGATTTTAATGGACTTAACTTCGCACACGAACTTCATGATACCGTGGTATAGTAACTACATGTTTTAGGTAATTTTTTGACCCTAACCTTCAATTTTCATTTAACAGGAATGAGTTTCCTTCTATTTTAAAAAATCATGATTTCAATAATGTATATGTTTTGGGAAATTAAAATAACATGATATGAGCAGTTATTATACACGCTTTCCTATACTAAACACGTTTTAGGAAAAAAAGTATGTTCTATTAACTATTATAAATAGATGAATCTTAGATACACTACTCTCACCTAAGACTTTCTTACTTAAATAAAGTTGTCTTTATTTCTCTGTTACTTTTTTTATCTTTCTTGATTGATTTGTTGTTATCATCTCAATCCATTATTTTTTCCATCCAATTTATTTTTGTTCATCCAATTTACACCATTCCGGAACTTTTCAACCCTCCATTACCATGTCTTTGAGGCTTCGAAAACCCAACGAATCAGAAATCTGTGACCAAGAAGATAGTCTCTTGGCTCGGGCAAAACTCCATAAAAGAAGGTGGAGATTGGCATTTGATGTCATTCGCTTCACCAGGGCTCTTGCTTCTTTGTCAAAGATAGCTCTAGACAGCAACAACCAAATCTTGCGGTCCTTCTCTTATGTTGCCATTGATATCGGTAGAGCATTGCAAAACGATGACGCTGGACTTTATTTTCTCGACATTGATCAGAAAATACTCACTACCATGGTGAAAGAGAAGAACTTCGAATCTTTGAGTAATCTTGGAGGAGTGAAGCAAGTTGCTGCAATTCTTGGAACCGACGAAAAGAATGGTGTCCCAGGTAATGACGCTCAACTTCTGCATAGGACGAATGCTTTTGGTAAAAACTGTTATAAAAAGCCAGATGCAAAAAACTTTCTTAGTTTTGTTTATGAAGCATTCAAAGATACGACCATTATCATACTTCTAGTCTGTGCAATACTATCTCTAGCCTTCGGAATTAAAGAAGATGGCTTGAAAGAAGGGTGGTATGATGGCAGCAGTATTATATTTGCTGTGTTTTTGGTTGTAATTGTCTCTGCCTTGAGTAACTTCAATCAAAATAGACAATTTGAGAAGCTTTCTGATGAGACTGGTGACATAAAAGTTGAAGTAGTGAGAGATGGCAGGCGCCAAGCCGTGTCAATCTTTGAAGTTGTAGTGGGTGATGTTGTGTGTTTGAAGATCGGCGATCAAATTCCAGCTGATGGGTTGTTCTTGAATGGTCACTCCTTGAAGGTGGATGCATCTAGCATGACTGGTGAAAGTGACCATGTTGAAATCAATGGCAGCAAGAATCCTTTCTTGCTTTCTGGCACAAAGGTCACAGATGGTTATGGTTCTATGCTCATCACTTCTGTGGGTATGAAAACGGCATGGGGAGAGATGATGAGTTCTATTAGCCGTGACTTGGATGAGCAGACTCCACTGCAAGTTCGCCTGAACAAGCTGACTTCCTATATTGGAAAGATTGGATTGGCAGTAGCTGTGCTGGTCCTTCTTGTTATGTTGATTCGTTACTTCACAGGCAACACCACAGATGAAAGAGGAGACAGAGAATTCAACAGCGGCAAGTTAAAGTTTGACGATGTAATGAATGCAGTTCTGAGAATTATTGCTGCAGCAGTTACAATAGTGGTGGTTGCAATCCCTGAAGGTTTGCCTCTGGCTGTTACTCTCACTCTGGCATACTCTATGAAGCGTATGATGGCAGATAATGCATTGGTTAGAAAACTCTCTGCTTGCGAAACGATGGGATCCGCCACAACAATCTGCACAGACAAAACAGGCACGCTCACTTTGAATGAAATGAAAGTGACAGAGTTTTGGGTTGGAAAAGAAGCAATGAAGGATACGGATATAGCTGCTAACGTTTATGAGTTGCTACAAGAAGGGGTTGGTCTAAACACAATTGGTACTGTTTATCAGTCAAACTCTGGTTCACCGCCTGAGATATCTGGTAGTCCAACTGAGAAAGCAATACTTTCCTGGGCTGTGTTAGACTTGGAAATGAACCTGGATGTGTCAAAACAAAATTGTGACATAATCTATGTAGAGGCCTTCAATTCAGAGAAAAAGAGAAGTGGTGTCTTGATGAGGAGGATCAACGAAAAGGTTGTTCACACACACTGGAAGGGAGCTGCCGAGATGATACTGGCCATGTGTTCGCATTATTATGACAGAAGTGGTACGATGAAAGTCATTGATGGTGAAGAAAGAATGCAAATTGGGACAATTATTAAGGGTATGGCAGCTAAGAGCCTGCGATGCATTGCCTTTGCTCACAAAAAAGTTGCAGAAGAAAACGGGAAAACTCATGAGAAGCTTGAAGAATCTGGATTGACCTTGCTGGGACTCGTTGGTTTGAAGGATCCATGTCGGCCAGGTGTGGGTAAAGCTTTAGAATCCTGCAAGAAAGCTGGAGTGAATGTCAGAATGATCACTGGAGACAATATCCACACGGCAAAAGCTATAGCTATTGAATGTGGAATACTCAGTCCTAGTTTAGATTTGAATACTGAAGCCGTAGTAGAAGGTGTTCAATTCAGGAATTACTCTGATGAAGAAAGGATGGCAAAGATTGATAAAATCAGTGTAATGGCAAGATCGTCTCCTTTTGACAAGCTTTTGATGGTACAGTGCTTGAAGAAGAAAGGTCATGTGGTAGCTGTTACAGGAGATGGGACAAATGATGCACCTGCTCTAAAGGAAGCTGATATTGGGCTCTCCATGGGGATCCAAGGCACTGAGGTTGCAAAGGAAAGCTCAGACATAATCATCTTGGATGATAACTTTTCCTCTGTGGTGACTGTTTTGAGGTGGGGAAGGTGTGTCTACAACAACATTCAAAAGTTCATCCAGTTTCAGCTCACAGTGAATGTTGCAGCCCTTGTCATCAATTTTATTGCAGCAGTTTCTTCTGGTGATGTTCCGTTGACTGCTGTCCAGCTGTTGTGGGTGAATCTAATCATGGACACCTTGGGAGCTTTAGCATTGGCTACCGAACGACCCACCAACCAACTTATGACCAAACCACCTGTGGGCCGATCTGCGCCTCTCATAACCAAGGTCATGTGGAGGAACCTTGTTGCTCAGGCTTTGTATCAAGTAATTGTGCTATTAATTCTGCAGTTCAAGGGAAGATCCATCTTCAGTGTGGACGAGAAGATAAAGAACACCCTAATATTCAACACATTTGTCTTCTGCCAGATTTTCAATGAGTTTAATGCAAGGAACCTGGAGGAGAAGAACATATTCAAGGGGCTGCACAAGAACAAACTCTTTATTGGGATTGTTGGGACTACTCTAATTCTGCAAGTGTTGATGGTGGAGTTTCTGAACAAGTTTGCCAACACTAAGAGGCTGAATTTGGAGCAATGGAGTGTTTGTGTTTGCATTGCTGCTATGTCCTGGTTGATTGGTTGGCTCGTGAAGTGGATTCCAGTTTCTGGAAAATAGTTCCTCTTCTTTTCCAAGCAAGGAGCATCTACCATATCCAGAGTCTGAAGTTTTTCTTCTTTCTTTAGTTTTCCAGAAGTAAATAGGATGGAACTTACATTTCAATAAATGACTCTCTTTCAGATTTATGTTCTGTCCAAAAAAGCAAATTATTATAGCACAGATTTCTTAGTACTTCAACTGTTAAATTGAATACAGTTTCTATCCAGTTTCATACATGAGAGTGCATTATAAGTTCTTCCAAAGACTCATGTAATTAATTTTCTGGGCCCTTTTCACAAACATATTCTGCTCAATGACTAATTTCATACTTAACGTAATGAAACCTATGATTGAGCGAATACAAGGTTACGCAGACCGAAGAATGACAAATATACTACAGGCAAACTCAAAATTAGCTATATCATTAATTTCTAACTATGAAATAAATAAATAGCTGCAGACAAGGTTACAATAATTGGTGTTCGAATTTGTACTATAAAGAAAACAAGAAAATTAAATGGAAACCAATTGCATAAAAAGCTCTCATAATTTGTACTATAGACACTGTTTGCTGCTTTTCACTCGAACTTTTCTTTTCCAAAAGAAAAAATATTGTTGATTAATAGTTGCCTTTCTTAGAAATTAGGCTCTGATGCTCACTATGGAAATTGTGTGATTTAAGAGAGTGGCGGACCCAGGATTTTTGTCGAGCAAGGGCCTCTGCAACTCTGTCATTGTTTGCCAAACAATTAGTGTAAACTTCTAAAAAATCACCGAACTTTATAAGTAAAGAAAATAATACAATTTCAGAAATCTAAAAGAAAATATTACAGTAAAACAATACTTTTCAACTTGAATAAATCTGCGAGAAGCAAAATCTTTAGTAAATGTGTTGAAAATAACATTTAATTCTTAAGGGAACATAAGAAAATTTTTACTTAGAAAAATCTCTTCAATGTGATGAGAGCAAAAAACTACGAGAATATAATGATTCACTTAAATTTAATATAATCAAAAGAGTTTACAGCAACCACAATCCACCAAAAATATTTTACACAAATTTCTTATTTCTCTTTCTTTTTTTTTCTTTTAATTGATTTTTTTTTTTTTTTTTTTTTTTGCTTCAAAAAATTATAATATAAATTTTCATAACATTGATCAAACCTAGCCTAAGCTAAAGTCAACCAAAACTTAAATCAAGTCAACATTGCGTTGACTTTTAATATGAATTAATAATAATAAAAAAAAGAATTTTCTTAGTATAAACATAGATACTAACTCAATTTTCTTTAATAATTTTGAGCAACTAAATAGTGATGTTTGAAATGTGGGAAAGTAGTACATGAAGAGTGAAGAATAACGTCCAATAAAATATAGTTAAGGTTTAATTTGGAAAAGCATGAACATTCTTAGACACAAAACGTAAAACAAATTCAAAAGATCTATGCCTTTCCCATCAAATTAGAATAAAAAACCTCCAAAAAAAAACATGATTTAACTTCAAAATAAACTAAATTGAAATGAGCAATATATATACCTAAAACTGATAAAACAAAAAACAGAGCTAATTGTGACACCTTGCGTAGTGAAAGCTTCAATAATTTTAGTATTCAAAAGTTTTAAGAGCAAATAGCATGAAAAAGAGAGAGAGAATGAGAGAGTAAAGAATTTATGGGATAAATTCATAAAAGCAGGTGAAGCCGTGGAGAACAGTAGAGAAAACTTTAAACTTTTAATATGATGTAGACCTAGAATATATATATTAATAGTAAGGTTTTTTGTGGACCTAGATATATATATGTAATAATTCTCATTTTTAAAAATTTTGAGGGTAGGCCTGGATATATATATTACTAGTAATTTTTTGTAGGTATATATAAACAATTTTTTTTTTTTTTTTAAACCAAGCCTACCCTCAAAGGGGCTGAGTTCGCCCTTGTATATAGTGACATAGTCACACCCCTCCAATCTTCAATTTGGATTGAAAAACTGACGAAGGGGTAAAATAAAATACCCGTCTTCACATTGTTGCTAAATCCATGGATCTAGAAATTCATTTCAAATTGTTTGTTTTCAAGAACCAAAAATATTTGTGCCAAAACAACGGATGCCAAAACGACCAAAAGGCCTTGGACACAATAATAAATTAAAATGTACTTAATTAAAAAAAAGAGTGGATTATGGAGGGGTAAAAATAATAGAAGTTCAAACTATGAGGGACTGGAAATTATTCGTAAGGTGTATATTGCCAAATTTAAAAAGTAGGAAGGGGGACAAATTTGTACTAATGAAGTTCAAGAAATGAGTTAAATACATGTTGCTCCGGTAGACTCAGATCCTTGCCGGTTAGTTAGCAATGTTTAAATTTTCTTCATAAAAGTCTAAAATACCCCAATTCATTAAATTTTTATTTCTCTTATAACTTACAAAATTTTTCCTAAATTCTACTGAATTATGGTGACTGAACCTTAGGGACTAAAATATACTTAAGTATTTAGAACCTTCGTCTATATGGTGATTGAACCTTAGGGTCTGCTTGGGAGTTTTTTTTTCATCGGTTTTGAGAGGTTTTTAATTAGACTGTTTTTAAGGTATTTTTAAACCATTACTTGCCATATTTTTTATGCACTGGTTTTAACTGGCTCAAAAACCCCCCAGAACCAATGTATTATATTTTTGAGAGGCTTATAAAAACACCCCAAATTGGGGTGTTTTGGTTGGTTTTAAAATTTTATTCCACAAATACCCTATCCACTATAAAACTATCCCAATTTCATCCAAAAAAAAAAAAAGATTAACCATATTATGCACATCTTCAACTATATTAAATGTAAAACAATTTTAAGCAATCATAAAAAAAAAAAAAATATTAAAATCTCATTTCTAGATGCTTTCTTGGAGAAGTAAAGTTACAATTTTTCAATCATTCTAGATGCTCCAAAGAATGGCGAAGAATGATAAAAAGACTTTATCACATTTGAAGTTATAAAATACTAATAAGTAGAAAACAAATAAAGAACTCTTACCTTATAATTGAAAAAACAAAAGTCCAAAGTACTAGTTAGAGTTGAGGTATTTTTATGGGCATATATGTAAATTTATCATTTTAAAAAACTGTTAGAACCGCTAGAAAATAAACTCTCAAGCATAGGTTGGGTGTTAACCGCTACTAAAAACCCTTCAAAACTGCTACGATAGTTTACTTTTAAAACCGCTATAATGATTTACCCTCATAATCTCTACCATAAAACTCTCAAGCAGACCCTTAGAGACTAAAATGTACTTAACTATTAAGAACCTTCGTCTATATGAATAATAATTAGGTTGGGGATTTTGACAATGTTTTAAAAATTGAATTGGATTCTAAATCGGATAAAGATTCGGTTTCTGGTGTAAACAGTTCAACTGGGTCAAACCGGTAATGTCAGCACAATATATATATAACCTGTCACCTCATCTTTTTTTTTTTTTTTTCTCTTTCTCCCCTTATTTTCTCTTTCTTCTTCTCAACTGTCACCTCATCTTTTTTCTCTCTCTCTCTTTCTCCTTGTCCTCTTCTCTTTCTTCCTTACTTTTTCCATATTCTCTTCTCTTTCTTCTGCAATCTTCTCCTTCGTCTTTTTTTTTTTTTTCCTCTCTTTCTCCCTGTCCTCTTCTCTTTCTTCTTCCATATTCTCTTTTCTTTTCTCACCTCCTCTTCTCTTTCTTCTTCTACTTCTTCAGATCTTCTCTTTATTTTTTTTTTCCTTCACATTCTAAGCTCGAGAAGGTGGATTTTTGAAGCCGAAGAAAAAAAAAAAAAGGAAACATTTTAGTTGGACCGGTTTTATGTCCGGTCCGGTCGGACCGCCGGTCTTCCACTATTTATGCGGTTTATTTGCGATTTAAAATGGTTTGATCGTTGAGAACGGTTATTATTAGTTTGTTAATCGTTTTTTCCTCCCGAAACCCGGTCGGACCAATCCAACCGACCGATCCGATCCGGTTTTCAGAACATTGGATTTTGAATCAGTACTCTAGGCTCCGTTTGGTTCAAAATTGTAGGTTTTGGGGAAAGTTTTTGAAAAAAGGTGAAAAAAAGTTGAATTGGGCGGGTATTACAATGTAAGATTTATAAATTAATAAAATATCTCTTATGTTTATTTCTTTACAAAAACAACCCTATAATAAAATATTAAAAGTTAACGAAAACACCCCCAACCCACCCTCAACTACGGACAGCAGACAACCACCGCCGGAGGGTGGCTGGAGTGACCATATCGACGCATGACCGGCTGGATCCTGCCGGTCGTGTGCCGATATGGCCTTTTCTGACCAAATCCATGGTGGATTTGGTCGGCAAAGGCCAGATCTACGGCCAGATCTGGCCGTCAACGACCAAATCTAGCCATATTTTCTAGTCAACAGTGGTAGCTGGAATCTGGTAAATGTGGATTACTGGGGTGTTTTTGCAATTTTTAAAAAAATATTTAGGGGTATTTAATTAAATTATCAAATTTAAAGGGTTTAAAAAAGTTGAATAATATTGGGAGTAGTATTCCCAAAAATCAGAGTTTTTGGGTATTTTACTGTTTAACTTTTTTGGGAATACTAAAAGTAGTATTCCCAAAACTGAAACAAACGAAGCCCTAGATTTTGAATAAATATTATGAAAGTGACGATGGTGGGAACCTTACTGGACCATTGTATGAAGTTGAGATACTATTTTCAATATCTCTTTTACAAAACATATTTGTTTTAGGAATATGCAAATAAATTTTTGCTTTAATTTAGTGGAGATTTTAGAAAGGAGGAAGAAGAAGAGCTCCCAAAAAGGAGATAGTATTGCCTAACAAATTTTATTCTGATCGATTTACCACACTCTCCCAATATTTGAGACTAGACATATATGCTTTTGCAATAATGTTTAAAACCTATTTACAACTTTGATGGATAGAAGTTGTAGCTCAAGGACTGACATTGGATGCGTGACTCTCTTAAATTAACTCTAAGATCTTAGATCCAAAAGATGGTTGTCAATAATAATAAACTATTAACAGACAATAATAAACAAAGGATCATAGAAAAAAACTAAGCATATATTCCTTTACACATACCTGTTTTGTTTTTTAGGTGAATTTCTATTATTATAATTATAGTGAATATAAAACCCATGTTCCTATCATGCGATTGAGTCATTTTGCTCTGTATGGATCGATCATATGTTATATTAATTTAAGTACATAAGTTAAGGAAGATAAAGTGAAGGAGGTTGATGAATGAATTAAAAACCCAACATCATCATTCTGACGAATTCCTCGTAGTTAACTTGACCATCACCATCAAGATCAGCCTCCCTAACCATTTGCTCTACCTCTTCATCTGTCAGTTTCTCTCCCAGGTTCAACATTCCATGCCTCAACTGCATATACATACATATTCAGAAGAAACAATTACTATAAATATTCTGTATCTATATTTATAAGTTGAGATTTTGAAGATCTGAACCTCATTAGGACATATGTAACCATCTTGATCCTTGTCAAATACTTTGAAGGCTTCTCTCAATTCCTCTTCCGCTTCACATTCCTATACATAAACCAAGTAGTTATATCACTCTTGATCAACGATTTTTTTTCTGTATTTGTAATGACCTGATTAGTTACTGTTGATGCGAGATTTTGCACCAACGAAACGCACGTGCGAAATGTTGCAGGGGGCTCCGAAATCACACGTGAAAGTAATGGATGAGAGATAGTAAATGCAATGGAGACAGTTTTTAAAGTGGTTCGGATGCTGAGGTAGCAAGTCTTACGTCCACTGATGCTTATATTGATGATAGGGGTCAGGTCGCTATTAGCTGACTGACTTTATAATGATATTACAAGGTATCAATTATTAAGAAAAGAGAGAGTAATTAATCAAGTGAAAAATGTGCGAATCCCTTTAATGAGAGATGAATTCCTAATTTATAATTAGATGCCTTGAGGCAATCATCACTAAATCTGCAAGTTGGTGGGATTATCCGTGCAAATCCTTCTTTATGTCATATTGCCCACCTTCCAGAGTGATTTGCGCTATTTAGAGCATGGATTGGACACGTGGGAGCACCACAGTCTCTTGACTAGCCTGACGCGCTCCCACTGTTCTGACAGAAGCAGACGGTGGCTGTTCCAATGATCTGACTTTTGCGGGCTAAAGGGTCCTCACGTCAGCCCTTATATCTTTAGGCATAACAGAAGCCCCCTAGTTTTTAAGGTTTAAGGATTGAACCTTGGAAACTACAGGTCGTGCCGCGGTTAGATGATTTCTGAAAACTTTAATCTGTTCGAAAGTAGGTCAGAGCGGCATTTGCACTAGCGCGACCTCGCATACTCAAGGATGAGCGACCTGGTTTCGTCTGACGTCACCCGTTTATTCCTGTAACAAGAAGGCATTTAATGAAGCCATCCCTGCGCTGACAGGTGTGCCCCTTGCGTGGCGAATGCCAGCCAATCACATTTAATGCCTTGCATGCTGAAACAGTGCGCTTTATCAGGACATTAAATGCAATATGCACTGGAATGGTGCACCTTACCAGAGCATTAAATGAAGATTTGAGACGCAATTAATGCTCTGAGAGAGATATGGCCGTCATTTAAGCTTTTCAATTGGAAAGGTGAAAGTTTGACTTTATCCAGTCGTTTCGCTCACCCTTCCTCGCTGATGAGTGACACGTGGCCAAGATCAACGGTAAGAAACCTTTATCGCTCGAACGTCGTTTCAATTCTGGGAAATCCAAACGCCGATCCACGCGCAATAAAAACCACAAATCGTTCTCAAGCAAAGTTACCAAAGCCTTTTTCACAGAGAACAAAAGACTTTCGCAGGCTAAGAACCTTTGTCTTCCAAACTTGCATTTTTCCGGCATCTGAAGCAGACACCGTTGTCGTACTCCGAGAGGTAAGAGTTTTCTTGCCATCATCTCATTTTTTCCATGAGTTAATGGCGTCGGTCTTCCGGTAACCCATCGGAGACTAGTCGTCTGCATCGGGTTTGAGCCGCCATTTGCTAGGGTATTTATTTAGGATTTAAGGGAGTTTATTTCCTCCCATGTCATCGTACAATATAGCGTATGGAGACAAAATACTCCCTCTGCTTGTCGCTTTTGCAGACTGGCAAAATGGACCCCTCAGATACCAGACCTGAGCAGGGAACCAGCCCGTCCCCGCATGGTGCTCCTAGCATCCCTCTTGAGGTTTTCTTGGTACTCACCGAGGAAGAACTTGAGAGGGTAATAAGCCAATTTGGCATCGAAGTGGACGTATTCCACGACCTGACGCACTGGTCGCGATACCCATCAAAAGGCTTGGCCGCGATCTTCGAGGAGATTATCAAGGGTGGAGGACTTATCCCCCTGCACCCTTTCATCAGGTCATTTTTGGACCACTTTGGGGTTGCACTGATGCAGCTGACCCCGAACGCGTACGTCCTTACTGTTGTAATGTACATCGCATGCCAGAAAAATGGACTGGGCGAACTGATAGCCTTGGAGCTCAATTGCTCGTATTATCTAAAGAAGAGCAAGGACAAGGATTTGTATTACTTGTCCAAGTGACCTACCATTACCGACGGGATACACAGTTATCCCAGCAACGCGGGGGCCTACGAAACGAAGTTTTTCTTCTTTTATTACGATGGCCATTGCCGCTTCCAGGATCCGAGTAGGCTTCTTTCTCTTTGTTTGCATTTCTGTTTTGTTTTTGGTGAACTTATTGCGCTCGAAGCGTGTTCTCTCTAACGACTTGATTTTTCTTTCTAGACAGTTAACAAGACAACAGAAATAGGGCTGCTCACGACAAAAGAAGAATCTTGCAGTTCGACTCCCTTCCTGAGGACAAGCGCGACGTGAGGACACTTGTGACAACCGCGAATTTGTGAAAGTACGGTTTCTTTAATGCCAACGCCTCGTTAGAGCCTCCATAATGTAAGTTTCCTTAACTGATTCTTTTCTTGGTCGTGGAACAGAATACCTTCACTAACCTTGCCTTGCATGCAGCAACAACCATGCCACCGAAGGAACCAGAGCAACCTCGTCGAAGGCCCATCAGTTTTCCTTGGACGAAAAAAGCTAAGGCGGCCGAAGCTGCACGAATAGTCCCCCAGGCTGAGGGCGCGACACCGAGCCAGCTGGCTCGACCTTCTGGAATGCCCCAGCCGCAGTCGGCAGAGGACGCACCAACACGAACCACGAAGGTCGCCCAGTCGTCGCCTGCTCGGCCAAGGATGAAAACCATGGCTCACCGTACAAAGAGGAAGTAGATTCAGGCTGAGGAATCAGAGACTGAATTTGAAGGCGAGCAGCCAAAGAGGTCACGACCGGACGCGAGCAAGTCGGGCAAGGTGCCTATGGATGACAAGACAGCTGTTGAGGCTTCGAAGAAGGGCCCATCAGTATTGGACTCGCTAGAGAACCTACCGGAGTACCTGTAGCCGATGGTGTATGCCCTTCTGGAATGCGGACTTTCGGAATCTTTCAAGCAGTTCGTAGGTTCCAGCGACGTGGACCTAATGTCCACATCGGTCCAGTATATAAGCAAGGTGAGCAAACTGTCCTTGGCGAGGACTTAACTTCTTTTGATTATCTAACTCTTTCTTCCTTTGTTCGCAGGCTCTTCTTTCCATGAGAATGTCCATGGAAAAGATACAACTGGGAGCTGCGAAGGGAGGTGCTACCCTGAAGGAAGAGAACGCAGTGCTTAAGTGAAACTTGGAAGTTGCCGAAGTAGAAAGAAACCTGTCTCTCGAATCGACGAACAGTTATTTGAATGAAGGAAACGCAGCTCTTCGCACGGTGGATTTCCAGAAAGCGCAGCTCGAGAAGCAGGGAGAGGAGATAAAGGAGCTGCAAAGGACCATAGCCAGACTCTCCAGACAGGCTAGGGAGAAGAACCAAGAGTTGAAAGCGACCTCCTTGCAGATCGCGCAATCAGAAAAGGAGAGAGAGGCCTCTGAGAAGCTAAGGCAGGCTCTTGAAGTTGAACTTCAGGAGAGTCAAGGGAAAGTTGCTTCCTTGACAGAGGAGGTCGAGGAGAAGGCTGCCGAATGGGCAATCGACTCTATTTATGCCTTGCAACCAAAGAATCCTCTTCTAGACATGTCCGACCTCCCGGTAGACTGGCAGGAAACACTCATGTCCATGGCACGGGAGGATGATGAAGCAGCGACCTTCTGACCAGAAGGTTCGAGACACGCAGCGGACAAACCCTTAGCTGACCAATCCTAGGACGAGGAGGTCGGCCCCGTAGGGGCTGGATTAGGTCTTGTAATCATGTCTTCTTTCCTACTGTACTCCATAGTAATGAAATACATTTTTGCCTTTACAATTTTCTGTTCGCTTTATCATACATGAGTTCTTTCCGATCGTTTACATTCATTGAGTCAAAGATAACATAATTATTCGCACGAAATGGATTATACATACAGATTGTTTACAAACGCCCAAGATAAAAACTTTACAAAGAAATGACTTACAAAAGTAAGAAATTAATTTACAAGAAAAGCTGAGTTCAGAATTATTGATGGTATGGTTGGAGATGTTCAGCATTCCAGGCCTAAGGTACCTTGGAACTGTTTAGCGTTTTGAGATGATAAGTCCCCGGTCTGATTACTTTATCAATGTGGTACGGACCTTCCTTCCTTCCTAGTTCAGCCCTAAAACTCCTGTACTTGGTTCTCTGATTCCGAGGAGAACTTCTTTTAACACCAGGTCGCCGACCTGGAAGTCTCTTCGCCTAACCTTTGAATCGAATAACTTCTTCGTGTGTTGCTGATAGGCTGCTATCCTTAGCGAAGCCTTGCTGTGATGTTCAATAAGGTCCAGGCTCGCCCTTATGAGTGCTTCGTTATCGGTCTCTTTGTACAAGTATCTCCGAAGTGAACCAATTCCTACCTCGATGGGAATCATTACTTCGCACCCGTATGCCAGCGAAAAGGGTGTTTCTGAGGTGGAGGTCCTTGGAGTTGTTCGGTCTGTATAGATCGGCCAATAGTTTCTCGAGCTTTTTGCTATTGGTGAATTATTCAACGAAGGTGTCGGTGAGCTGGGTGAATGAGTTGATTGAATAGTTTGGAAGGTTAGTGTACCACTAAAGAGGTGGGCCGGAGAGGCTTGAACCAAAGCTTTTACACATGCAAGCTTCCCTAAGTGTTCGGGATATTGACACAGCAAACATCCGCTGCTTATAAGAGGCTATGTGGTCATCTGGGTCGGTTATGCCATCATAAGGCTTCATGCTGGGAATGGTGAACTTGTGTGGTATCTCAACTAGTGTGATTACTTCTACGAAAGGGTAAATCAACATAGCAGTGAGGTTGTCTCTTTTTTGTTAGGATTGGCATTCCAGGTATGTGCCTCATCACTGCCTCTATGTCGGCCAGTCTCTTGGCCAATATCTGCTCCATGGAAGATGCGGATACCACTAGGTCGTCTTGGTTAACTTGGTTGGCCGCGTGATTTGCACTTGATGCGTTTTGGTGGATCAATCCGCATGGTGTAGTATGACGGATTACTCCGTTATGCACTGCTTGGTAGCTTCGATCCCCATTCATTCCCTCTAGTTGGATGATTCCCCTCGTGACCGATCATGTGTTTTGCCCTACATGGATTGTAAGGGGTGTCATTTGGGATTCGTTTGGCCCATTGGGATGGATGGACTCGAGCGGGGTAGTTTGAAGGAGTAGGGGACCGTTCGACCTGCGAGGATGAGTCGAGATAGGTGGAGTTTGGGTAGGGATGACTGACTGAAGGTGGGATGGGATGGTGAGGATGGATGGTTCTTGTGGTGGGCTTTCTATCACTTGGATGCCTTGATCTCGTGCCTAAAGCGGATCGATCGAGAGTGGCTCTATCGGCGGCCCCCATTCCCTATCAGTTAGGTTGAATCATCAATTAATGACGAACATAGCTGGCGTGACCTTGTATTCGAGATTGCGGGTCCGTGCTCTAGAGTCTGGAGAGGTTGCATAGATGGAACCGAGGTGCGAAACCGATTGGGTTGTACCTGACAAGGCAGAAGCTCAAGATCATAGAACTGACTTACCTTCACTTTTAGAGATTGGTTCTCGGCCCTAATGAAGGCGTTTTCAGTCCAACTGGCAGTGTTCTCAACTTCCAGTTCAGCCACCTTGTCTGAGTGCTGTTGCATGGGGGCGGTCATAGCCTCTAGTTTGGCCTCGAGGCCAGGATTAGTGTTATCAGAATTGTCAGCCACGGAGAGTTTCTTCATGTAGCAGGGTTTGTGAGATAAATAACTGCCAGAGTCTACATGGTGGGCGCCAAACTGTAGATGCAAAAAATTTACTGTCATGAAAATAGGGTCTGATCCGGGAGATTGAGGCCACTGACAATCCACTAGACCTGCACATATGAAAGGACAAGTGTGAAGCTTCCAGAAAACACTGGGGGTGGTGTTTGCCGTAGGTAGTCCGACGTTCAAGTTAGCAAGGCTGAAAGAGATTATTTGATAAGAACTAAGGAGATGAAGAATTACCAGGAGTCTTGTCGGAAGCTAGGACCACGGCAAAGGCGTCGGGTTCTTGGGATTAAGAACTTTAGGAGCAAATAGATGGTTTTGAGTAGTGTAGATTGACTATGGGAGATTCCCCTCAATGAGAGGGCAAGCCTCTGTTTTTATAGTAAACCCAAAGGGTTAGAATCCTAATAGGACACTGAGTCCTCTTTTGGGAGATAATCCCTATCAAAAAAGAAATATGATTTCTTGACTTTATCAAGATTAAGTTTAATAGTTTGAGTAAGATTAGGAATCTCAGCAGAAGAGGAAATAAAATATGATTATGATTTCCTATTTATGGACTATTGCAAGCTAATGGGTTGAAACCCAGTTTAGCTTAACTTATAGGATAGTCTAACTCATAAAGTGGGTAGTTCATAAGGTGATTTTAAGCGTAGGCTTAATCGGG